AAAAAAAAAAAAAAAAAAAAAAAAAAAAAAAAAAAAAAAAAAAAAAAAAAAAAAAACTGAAATTAAAGGGTTGTCAAATGAGGCCTTAACTATGCCATTTTGAGCTTAAATCTTGTGGCAAAATCAGGTGGCTGGAACCGAGGATGGTGTAAACGAGCCGCAGGCAACATTCTCAGCCTGTATTGGAGCAGCGTTCATAATGGTTGCACCCGTCCAAGTATGCAGCTACACTAGCTGAACTCATTTTGGTGGTGTCCTAACACAGACCTTTTTTCTTTCTTCATTCTTCTGCAACGATGGAAGTTGTAACCGGAACAAGTTAGGCTACACGAGGAGGATTATCGACACGATCCACTCGGGGTCGCTTTTGGAGGCAAACTACACTACGACTCGAAAACCCAAGAGAGAATACTGGCAAACAGAAGGTGATTAGCTGATGTAGCAACATTTATGAACTGAATCCCAGTAAAATATATAGCTATGTGTATGCAGTTGCTTTGTGGGCTGGGAAGTCGAAAGACAACCTCTAAATTACAACATTGGGGAGCTGAAATGTTTATTTTCCAATTGTCCAGAAATTGACGAGGTCAAAAGTTTCAGTTTTATGGCCATGACAAGTTTATATACCTGCTAAGATTCACTGGTTGATGTTGTGTTATCTTTGTGCTTGATCATACCAGAATCGACTAGAACTGGAACCTCAGCAGCAAGCCATGGTGCAAGTCCCAAACAAAGAGCGTGAGCTATTCCAAACCTAGGACTGCAAAATAAATCCCATGCCATTTCTTTACCCAGTAGGCCAAGATCATGTCAATAACAAGCTGGAAAACAAAGTGCAATGCCCAACAACAGCCCCAAAACGGTAATACTTTGAAGGTTTTGAATCCTCAACGTATTGGTTTAACTAAAAACGACCACACGATTCATGAAAGATAAAGTTTGTTGAGGATTGTTGGAAAAGAAGTCCCACGTCGGCTAATTAAGGAGTTGATCATGAGTTTATAAGTAAGGAATACATCTCCATTGATGTGAGGTCTTTTAAGGAAGCCCAAAGCAAAGCCATGAGAGCTTATGTTCAAAGTGGACAATATTATACTATTGTGGAGAGTTGTGATTCCTAACATGGTATCAGAGCCACGCCCTTAACTTAGCCATGTCAACAGAATTCTCAAATGTCGAACAAAGAAGTTGGGACCCCGAAATTGAGTCACTAAAAGTGACTCAAGTGTCGAACAAAGTACACAAAAGGTGTACTTTGTTCGACGGCTCCAAAGAAGGAGTCGAACCTCAATTAAGAAGAGGCTGTTCGAGGGCCCCATAGGCCTCAGGAGAGGCTCTATAGTACACTTTGTTCGAGGGAAGGATTGTTAAAGATTGTTGGAACAGGAGTCCCACATTGGCTATTAAGGAGTTGATTATGAATTTATAAGTTAGAAATACATCTCCACGTAGTATGAGGCCTTTTGGGGAAGGCGACAATATCATACCCTTGCGTGGAGAGTCCTCATTTCTAACAAAGTTCCATTGCGAACAAAACTGGTTCCAAAGTAGAATAACTGGGAAATCAGAACCTATGGGTTTTCCATTCAAAATACGACGTTCACTGTTAACAATTTGGAAGAACCCCTGTTGAGACCCGGATCAAAGGAAGCATGCATTGTGCCCAAAGCTGAGACTGTTTAAACTTCTAATTGCAAACTAACACAAAGTAAATATTCTATAATAGGCCTTTATACATCTGAAATAATTCACAAAAGTTCTGAGCAGACCATCATTTAAAGAAAGATAAGCGAAATTACCAGTTTTTCGCCCAGAGGGGCTTGAAATGAATGGTTAAGCAGATCTTTCCGCCTCTATACATCTGAAATAATTCACAACATCCAGTCAAAATGAGTTCCAAATTTGAACTACGAATAACGTAAATTCTTCAAAACAATCGAATTCGATCGAACTCAAACCTTCTGTGTTTTTCCATCCAGCTCAGGCAGCTCGAGCTCTGGCGCGGTGGACGGATACGTAACAGGAATATCGAATTGAAGATCGAATTCGTACTTGAGAAGGTTGTGGATGTACCAGCACTTTCCGATCCATCGTGTTCCCTCTGGATTCGCAGCCGATATCCTGAACCAGTCGTTGTCATTTGACTTGTTCATCTGAGTGTAAGCGATCAATGCCTTGTACTCCTCCTTCAACCTCTGCGTCCATGGCGCACCATCTCTGGGCCCGGCTTTCGTCGTTAGCAGAGGGATTTGGGTAAGCGTCGACTTGGTATTCGGATCCCAACCCTCCATACTTCTTCTCTGCTAACGCTAACCGAGATTCCGACTTGCGTCGGTTCCTGCAACTCCCTTTTATGGCTAGTGGCCGTCGATTGATTGTTCTGATTCCCAAAGTGGAATGGTACCTTGTGTGCCTCTTGGAAGTTCATAGAGAGGGCATTTTCGGAATTACAACTTACAAGTCTTATTTATAAAACAGAATAATAAAATATGAAAAATATCCCTTCCGTGGTTTTAAAAAATATTTTAATGTTATGATTTAAAGTTCCAATTTTCAACACTATTTTAAAAACATTTTTAAATTTTAAAAAGTTGGATTAATATCATTCCAACTTACCCACCCAAAAAAAAAAAAACCATATTTAAAAAATAACTATAAAACTTTAAAAATAATATTAATAAATGGTCTATTAACTATCCATTATATTATCTTTATTTTTAATATTATTTTTGAAAATTTATTAGTATTTCTGAACTGTGAACTAACATTAAAAATTATTTTTTAAATTCAAAAGTATTTTTACTAAAGGGTACATTAGAAATAAAATATTAGTGTTTTTTTCTTCAAAAAATTAACAATTTTTTTAAAAAGTTTTAACTTTTTAAAAAATTTAAATTGGAAGAGATTTTTATTAATTTAGTATTTTTCTTTTTTCTTTTTGGTTGTAAAAATAAGAAAGAAACCCTAGAATTGATTAAAAAATAATCTGATATAAAAATGTGAAAAGGGACCTACGTTCGATTTCGCATTGCCATAGCCACGTGATATACATATGCCTGCCCTTCGCGCCAGGCCGTCGTCTCATCTGCTTGCTTAAATTCTCTCACAACCACATCGCTCCGGTTGATTCTCCGTCGGTTTCCTGTTCTTTCCCGGAATAAATTTCCCTGTTCCTTCAAAGCCTCCACACATCCCCATTTAACCTCTCACCATTTTTGTTTCATAGCTAGTTTTTCCTTCTAGGTCTACTATGGCAGGAGTTTTTAGAGAAAGAGCACTGTCTCTCCTCGCCGCCGCTAACAACCACGGCGATTTAACGGTGAAGATTTCATCTTTGAAGCAGGTGAAGGATATCATACTAGCCATCGAGCCATCTTTTGCAGCAGAGCTCTACTCCTACTTGGTCGAGCTTCAGTCTTCCCCCGAGAGCTTACTACGTAAATTGTTAATTGAGTGAGTTCGAAACCCTAACTTTTCATTCTGTTGTATGTATTTTGTATTATTTATGCTTATTATAACATTTCCCCTAGTCCTAGTTCAACATTAATAAATAGTGAAGCGAGACGATAAGTTTGGTGAAAACTATTTTCCACTACAAGGGAAAATGCACTTTTGTATTGGATATACTGCAGTATCTGCAAAAATATCGGTTAACTTTTAACTGTAATTTTGAATATTACATATTGTGCTCGTCCATATTACTTGGTAGGTAGTGTATTTATTTACGGCATCAAATTTGGATTAACGATATCAAGCTGTGGTCACTGGACTTTAAATAACTCAAACCTAAGGTTAGGGATGAATTTTCATTGTCAATATATTATCAGCATTCCACTTTTTTGCATGTCTTTGATTATGAGTATTGGTCCCAGCCTGTGGATATTAATTTAAATTGGAGAGGAGGTAATATTAGAGGTGTTTGAAATTATTCTCTCATATTATGGTACACGTTCAATTGTCATACTGAAAGACAAGTTGATTGGTTAGAATAAATTTTAATCTAAAAGTTTATAGTTTGATGCCGGAACAATTTGAATTTAAATGCTGTGCTCTAAGGAGACTTTGTCCTCGTTCTGCTGGTTCGTTTATCGAGCTCCTTTCAAGGAGGGGCATGTGTGTGAACCTGGGAGAATTTCAAAATTTGTACTCACACTTATTTGCAGTACTTGGATTTTTGTGTCTCCATCAGTTATTGTTGATTGGGAGATTTATTGTCCTTCTCTCGTGTAATTACCTATTCGACAAAGGGAAATTGTTTCATATTAAAAAAAACACACAGGTTAGGATAAATGTAGTAATTTCAATATATTCTTAATGGGATAGTCGGTTTGTTTATTGTGGATTCATTTTTATTTCTTCTCGATGTGCAGTCAACGTTAGCTCATCTAAATTGTTGCCTTTTAGCATATGTGAATTTTTTAGCTGTATCTTGCCTTACTTCTGTCTGAGATCAATATTTGTCTCTTTGGCTGGAGAGGAACAAAAGACTTTTGGGGATTTGGAGTGTTCTTGGAAGGATTGGTCAATTTTAACTTAATGCCTCTGTTTCTAAGTCCTATTATTTGGGATTGGAACCCCCCTTTTGTATAGTTAGCTTTGAGGTTTCTTTTGCTACGCTGTCCTTTTGAAGGCCAATTTTCTTGTTTTTCCTTTTTTCTTGATGAAACACATAGTTTCTTATTTGTATATATACATAAAAACAAAGTCCTTGATCAATTAATACTCCCGGTAAAATCACGTTCATTTTACTTGTACACTTATGTTTGCATTTCAGAGCAACCACGTATCTTGTCCACTTGGGCTTCTTTTATTAACATAAATTCTTCTACTTCTATTCTCAAGCACGTTAGCTGCTGGAAATATTTTTCTTCCATTTATTTATACCTTAACTGCTCTCACTTTACACAAAATACTCAGGGTGATTGAAGACATTGGATTGAGAGCCATGGAACATTCTCCTCTGTTAATGTCAGTTTTATTGGCATCTTTGAAGGATGAAGACTCTATTGTAGCACGACAATCAATTACTAGTGGGCAAAAATTATTTTGTGGTGCTTTAAGAGAGATGACATTGCAGGTTTCTCCTTTTCCTTAAAGTTGAAGAAATTTTTGAACCATTGGGCTTACTGAACTTTTAATGCTTGATTTGTTTTTCTTCTGAATTATGTTTAATTTATCTTCCATTGCCTGCCAACATGGTTTGAGAAGGTCAATCAACCGTTATATTTATGTATAATTATTCTTGCCTCTTATCAATGTCATTAGTATGAAGATACATGTGTGTGTGTGTATAACTTAATTTGTAACATCACAAATGAGATGATAACTTTTAAATTCCTCAGTTGCATCGACGGGGTAAAGTTGAGAGATGGCTTGAAGAACTGTGGATGAGGATATTGAAGTTTAAAGATGAGGTTTTGGCAATTGCCATAGAGGTATGTAAATGCCTAACTGCCGGTCCTTGAAACTTTCTGCTATTGTTTTTACTTTAAAATGTGGATCTTTCTTTCTTCTTTCTTCTTTCATGTTGTTACCTTTTATGGGAAAAAGGCTTATAAAATGTCTTGGATAGTCGGATTTAAATGTATGTGTTTGACTTTTAATTTTTTTATATTTTTTTCTTCACTCTCTTCCTCCTCTCCGTGTACATGTATGTGTGTGTTGTGTATGCACAAAATCTTAATATATGTTTGTAGGCCATGTTTGTTTCATGAGTTTTGAGATGGGTTTTGGGAAGGAGTCAAAAAACCATGTTTGTTTCATGGATGTTTACTTTTTATAACCTAGGTAAGTATTTTCCTTTGATGAAAATATCTCATGAACCATGGAAATTTGTAGTTCTTCTTGGAGAGGAGATTTTTTTCATTCGAATATGAATAGGAGAGACTAGAGAGAAATTACTCAATAATTACTTTTTGATTGATGTATAAATTAATTTTAGTATAACGATTTTAATTAATTTAAATATTCTTCAATTTGAATCTAATAATCTAAATTAATTTTTTAATAAGAAAAATATATACAATGATTTAATGTATATTATTCTATTTGGAGAGTAAAAAAATGAGCATGTGATATTTTGATGGCTTATATATTTTTAATTTGTAATTAAATTTAAAAATAGAGAGTGAAATTTGTAGGTTGATTTTAAATTGTTTAATTTAAGTTCAATGCGCAATGATGGAAGCCATAAGGTAAAGATAAAAGATGAAGAAAAATTAGGTAGAAAATTTATCAATGAAACTTTTGTTTGTATACAATGCATATAATAATTGTATAAATTTGACTTTATTTAGTTATAAGGAAAAAATATTCTAACCAAATTAGATTTTAGACAATTTTTCTAGTCATTTTTTAAAAATTTATTTAGTTCATAAACATATTTTAAAATCCCAAGAACAAATCCTGCAAAATGAACAGAAACATTTAATTTTCATTCCTTTATTATTTTGCACATTCAAACACATACATTTAAATCCGAGACATTATTTTTTCTGCCTACCCAAAAATACAAACATTTATCATCCTGAAAATTCAAATACCAGATATTTAATATTTGTACCCATGAAACGATATTTGCGATCCAAATGGGCCCTGTGTCATACTTTTGTTAATTTATTGATTGGTTTACTTCTGAATTAAAAAAAGCTTTCGGTGAATGTTGTGTGTTTAATCTTTCCGGACCACTTCCATGCCTTTCATTTTACTCATTGGAAGTTATACATAATTGAACATTTTTTTTGGGATAAGCAATGCTTTACATAATTGATTTAATTTTCAGTATTTCTTTTTGAAGAATTACCAACTGTTCTGACCTTGAAGCTGCTTAAATGTCATATTGTAGCCTGGTTCTGTCGGGAAGAGGTTGCTGGCTTTGAAATTTTTGGAAACATATGTTCTACTTTTTACGTCTGATACAAATGATCCACAAAAAGCTATCTCAGAAGGTATGCATTTGCCTGCTTTTAAGTTTTTTGTGCTTCACATTGTAACATTTATCAGTTTTTTTTTTGTCTTTTAGCTTGAAGGTAAATATATGCTTGCATCTTTTTATGGAAGATTGTTTGATTGAAATTTAACTTGATCCTGCGTAAAAACAGGAAATGGGGATATTTTTAACATTTCATGGCTTGCTGGTGGGTTTCCGATATTGGATACAGTTGTGCTAGCGTCGGAAGCTAATAGGATGCTTGGTATTCTTTTGAATTTGTTGCAGACCAGTTCTGTTGCTGGTACATACACAGTAACAATTGTCAGTAGGTGAGCCCTCTCACTCTTTCTCGTATCTGGTTATTTTATTACTTGATGGCAGTTTGCCATTTTCAATTTATGTTTGGTTGTTCATTGTTGCACATACGATCTCTGTGAGGTTTAGAGAAATTCTGCACGTGTATGAGGAACGACA